GTGAAGTCATAGGCATTTGTCTTCCTCAGTCTGACTTATTTCACTTCACACAGTACCTTCTACGTCCATCCATGTTGATGCAGATGGTAAGACTTTAGTCTTTTTTATAGCAGAGCAATATTCTATTGTATTATGCACCACTTCTTTTTTATCCACCATTCGGTTGATGGGTACTTGGGCTGCTTCCATATTTTGGCTATTATAAATAATGCTGCAATGAACATAGGGGTGCATATATCTTTTTAAAAAATGGTGTTTTGGATTTCTTCAGATAAATACCCAGAAGAGAGATTGCTAGGTCATATGGTAGTTCTATTTTTAATTTTTTGAGGAGTCTTCTTACTGTTTTCCATAGTGGCTGCACCAATTTGCAATCCCACCAAAAGAACACAAGGGCTTCCTTTTTTCCACATCCTTGATAACACCTATTTTTTGTTGATTTATTGATGATAGCCATTCTGACAGATGTGAGGTGACATATCATTGTGGTTTTACTTTGCAGCTGTCTGATTATTAGTGATATTGAGCATCTTTTCATATGACTACTGGCCATTTCTATGTCCTCTTTGGAGAAATGTCTGTTCAGCTCTTCCCATTTTACTATTAGTTGTTGAATAGTCTTCTAAGATAGTATCCCTCACTTATTAATTCATATTATCTTGATGTTTCTCTGCTCACTCTACATGAATAGCTTCATCAATTTGTAACACTCTAAACTGTAGGGGTGTCGAACTCAATCAGAGAAGGGGCCAAAATCTAAAATCCAGCCTAAATCGCAGGCCGAATGGTTTACTGAACAGTCATAAACTGTCATTGTGATGGAAACGCAGCGGAGTGCAGTGATGACAGCGCGGTGCGGGCCACATTGCAAGGCCTGGCGGGACGGATTTGGCCCGCGGGCCTTGTGTTTGACACATGTGCTCTAAAGCACCATTTTATAAGCGGGAACAGTAAGTTATGGGTAACCAAATAAATTCTACATTGTTCCTTCCATAAAGTTCAACATGTTGACTGATTATGAAAATAACCTTCTTGCTTTTTTTCAGTCTTTAAATATAATACTTATGAGTTTAATCAAGGAGTCAGAAGAGACAGAATAAAAAAAAATAACAAAATAGTATTAAATACTAACATTACCCATTTTCTGCTAAGTTTTGTCTTATCTGAAGCTTGTAAAGTTGTTTAATCTTTTCCACCCTCTCAGGGTAAAGAGAGCCTGGAAAATCCTAGTCACTCAATAGTAACTGTCAATAGTATTTTCCATAACTATCTGAATGCAAAATAAAAATCTTAAGAAGTTGATCCAATTCTAAAACTTACTTCTCAACTTACTAATAAATATGAAGAGACAACCCATCCATATTTTCTTCAAATAACATCTGGTTTCTTGGCCAGACTGCTAATACATGAAAAAGTTCCTGAGTTTGTTCCAAACAATCTACATTTAAAAAGCTTGAAAATGTATTTATGCACTAAACACTCTTTTCTACAACCTACACAGGGCCAGAGATGGGGCTGTGAGATAGAACCCTGCCAAGAAATTAGAAAGAGGGGGAATAAATTATCTTCTAAAAGTTAAACTGTAAAACCAACACTTGATGGGTTAGGACAGGAAATAAGAAATCACCACATGGAACAAAAAGCTTCCAGGCCAGCAAGATTTGGCTGTGACCCCACTGAAGATACAGCACACACACATAAAGACCATATCCGTCATTCATGTAGTTACAGAGGAAAAAAGGTTGCTATGACAGACCTGAGTAAGACCTGCCAAGGCTCTGTGCAGATGGGGGGAATCTGGACTAGCAATGAACCAGCGACAAAGCATCTCTATAGCGAAATTGAATGCACCACTTTATCTTAGCCTGATTACTCCGAGCTGGCTGGTGTTATTCATGATGGAAAGCTCTATATTGAGCTTACAGCCTAGCCTAGAGCAGGCAATCATTAGATTCAATGAGTTTGTTCCAATTCTTTGCTCACAATCTCCTGATTATAATTTGGCTCCCACACAGTTCTGCTTAAAGGAAGAGAATTCTCAAGTCTTGTGGATTTGAGAATCCTGGCCCCGATGCCGGCTACAGCACTCATTGAAATATACAGTTCAGCATTTGGGCTTGCTTAATCAACTCAGCTCTGAAAGGAAGGGCCCTGGAGTGCCCTGAGGGATCAGGTTTCTGAGCCCACTAGGCTGGCAGTGAGTCTCTGGGCCATGGTTAATTCACCAGGGTGGTGATGATAATGGTGGTGACAGGGACAGCACGGCCATGTGCTGAGCAACCTCTGTGTCAGACACTGCATTATGTGCTTTACACACTTGAACTCTTAATCCCACAATAATCCAACAAATTTGGCATTATTAGTATTTACATTTTGTAAATGAAGAGCCTAAGACTAAGAAAGCTTTAGTAACTTACCCAGAAACCCACATTAGGAATCTCGATTCAAACCCAGAGTTGTCTGACTCTAAAGCTTAATCTCTTAAAATTTTAAAATATGATTTCAGAGCAAATCTTACCCTTCTCTGGGCCACTCTCTTCTCTGCTTCTACAATTCATCTTCAATATGACTATTCATTACTCTGTACCAGCCTTCACATCAATGCACATGAAGAGTAGCAAGCAATCTTAACCAGAGTGCAGAAGGTCAAACCCCATCTCAGTGAACAGCATCACCATTCCATGCCATCATATGGTTACCTTCAGAAGCCAAATGATGCTTCCTCCTCCATCACCACCGTAGCCACACACTGTCTAATTATTTGCATGTCCTCCAATAAACCTCATTAATACTTCCCTTACTGTGTCCACTTCTCACTGTCACTGTTGCCAATACTTGTCTTTCACCTGGACCTCTACAAAACTCTCCTAGGGCATGTTCTTGCTTTTACTCTTGCTCTCCTTCATTCTCAACCTTTGCATCTAATGATCTCAATATTATCCAACATGCCATCCCACTGTTTAAAAATCATTCAGTGGACCCTCAACCTTTCATCATACTCTGTGCTTCAGTCCTAATAATGATTGGCCTGCAGTCCTTGGAATATGCTCAGTCATGTCTGCTCAGGCATGGCACACAAGCTGGACCTGGAATACACTCACTGGCATCCCCCTGACCATTGTTCCCTCCATACCTGCTCTGGTCAGCTTATACTGGGCCTTTGGAACTCACTCCTATTTCACCTTCTCCAGGACACCTGGGCTAGGTGCCCATCTGAGGCACTCTCATCATGCAAATCATCCCTCCTCTCCTTGTATGGAAATTCTTTATTTGTGTGACGCGACACACAAATGACCTCCCTGAAGCCTGTTTACACACACACACAAACACAAATGCATGTATATTAAGTGAATAAATGAAAAACAAATGTGTATCGCAGGTGTAAAAATCCAACCCTGCTTCCTCAAGTTCAGTTGAGTGATCTTAAGAAAGGTATTTTGTCTCCTTAGACCTCAGCTTCTCCATCTGTAAAATAAGTATCATAAATCCTACATTGTCAAGGTCTTGAGAGATTCAAACCAAACCATACAATATATGGAAAGTCCTTAGCACCAAGCTTGGTATATAGGACTTTCCATCTGCCGGTTGTTGCTGTTATTATTATTACTATGTCCTTGGAGACCTAACCGAAAACATTCGTGTTCTGGAAAGACCTCACAGCTCTATTCCCAGGCCCTTCAATGACTCGGCCACTCCAGGCCTTCTAGCACTTACGTTTTACATTGTATAATGCATTATTTTGCACTCTTGAATGCACTGCTTTGAAAGGATCCCATACTTTTTCCACGATGCCTAGTACTCAACAAAAGCTTTTAGGTGAAATGGCGTCAAGATTTGCTACAGATTGTATTCTCCGCTGGTGCCTTAGCCCATGGACAGTCACATGGCACCTCCTGATGATGCCAATGCTGCACAGAAAAGCTAGCATAACCCTGAGAGGAACACACAGGGAAAAGGAAAGGCTTTGGAATTGACAGGTGGTGATCCCAAAATAGAAACCACTCGTTAAAGGGGTCATAAATAAGACAAGGTCTTGGGAAGGGGATGTCCTTTATCACCACAGATATGGCAAGGTGAATTACTATAGACCAGTGGTTTAAAAGAAATGATGCCACAGCCCTTCCATGGAATTGTGCAGCCATTAAAAATAGATAAGGGGCCAACTAATAATGTGGCAAATAAAAACACATAAGACCTCATGTTATATAATATAAAAAACATACAGGTAATACATGTTTTTTATCACAGGGTGTAAACTTTGCTTTAAAAAAATGTAAGCGAATAAACCAAAATGTTAATATTTGTAACAGGGTGATGAATCCCCGGGTATTGTTTTTCTTCCGTCAATTCCCCACACTGTTTGTAGGGTCATACCCTTTAAAATGCAAAGACTCTCGCTGGCCAGGCGGCTCAGTTAGCTGGAGCATCGTCCTGTACATCGAAAGGTTATAGTTGGATTCTGGGTCAGAGCACAGACCCGGATTGCAGGTGCAAACCTGGGTCACGGTGCATAGGGGAAGCGATTGATCCATGGATGTTTCTCTCTCTCCCTTCTTCTCTCTCAAAAATAATAACAATAAATAAGTAATCAATAAAAACATATTCTCAGGTGGGGATTATAAAAAAATGTCAAGACTTATTCTTTAAAAATATACGTTCTGGGTGTCTCCCTCACAGATAGCTCTGGGAAGAAATTAGGCAGAAGGCATGCTCTCTAGGCTGCGGAGGGCTCCAGAGCCTGGGGCCTGCCAGGTGGTATGATCTGGCTCCTGCCAGGCTCCCTTTTCACCGGGCACCGCCCCCCTGGGTCTCATGTAGTGCCCTCCAGCAGGCAGCCCTAGGCGGACCCAGTCCTCCACCCAACCCCCATGGGAGCTGTCCTCCTTGCAAAGTTTCTGTTTGGGAGGAAGGAGGCGCTGTGAGCAGCTGGAAATCCAGCTTCAGTGAGCAGCCCCCGAAGCCTGACCCCATCGGGCCGCCCACCCCGCCCGCCTGCTTACCTCTTGCAGGGGATGAGCGCCTTCCTCTCGTCCAGCACCCGCACGCGCTGCTGGAGGCCGTCGTAGGAGAGCAGGGCGCGGCTGTTGCGCCCGCTGCTCTGCCGGTACAGCACCTGGCGCCCTTCCCACTGCTGCGGCGCCTGGCAAGGCCGCGGCGTCCCCGGAGACCCCCAGGGATCCGCCCGCAGCGCCCCCGCCCCGGGGCCGCCCAGGCCGCCCAGGACCCAGACCCACAGGCCGCCCAGCAGCCAGGCGCCCAGGGCGCCCCCGGCCCCGCGTAGGGCAGCGCGCCCTGACATCTCGGCCCACCAGGCTCAGCAACCCGCGAGCGGCAGCAACTGGCCCTCTGCGCTGTGCCCAAGTATCTGTCCTCCTGTCCAAGTTGCTGTTTGTCCCTGTCACGGCCGCTGGGGCTGTGGAGATGGAGATGCTGGAGGGCGGGAGTCGGACCCGGGGCGGGAAGGCTCCTGTGAATCGCGCGCAGGAGCTGTTTCTGCCCAGGCCTGTCGCTGCCCTTGGATTTCACTTGCTCTCTGCTGCCAACAGGAAATGCAGTGGCAGCGGTGCCACTAGCACCCTGAAGGGCGTCCAAGTTTTAAACGTGGAGGGGTGGAGGGCACGGTGTAAACGAATATGTTTCTGCATTAATGCAACTGTTCAGCAAGGTACCGCCACACTGGGGGACAAAGTCAAGGTCAGGAACTCGGTAGTGCTGCCCTTGTTCTGCCCACAGGCCTGGCTCCTTTCGCTAAAACTGCCATCTCTTTCCTCCAAATGAGAAGTGGAAAGGAGGGTCCCTTGCTGAGACCTTAGGGAGCTCAGTCAGGTCCCTGTGGAGAACAGGCAGGGCAAGGCAGAAGGTGGGAAGGAGGAGGAAGATGCTGAAATAGCCCAGACAAGAGAAGCTGTCAGAGGTGAAGTGGTGATGGTGGGAGTGCAGAGGGTGGGACAGAGTTGGGAACCACGGAGACGTATTTAGACTCAGAGAGGGTTCTGGTTTGGGCCACTGGGGATTCGAATAGTGCTGAGCTAGAAAAGGTACGTTCAGTCAGAATTGGCTGCTTTTGAGGTGACTGTGGGATAGACAGGTGGAAACAGCCCAGCGACAGTTGAATAAGCACTTCCGGGGACCAGCCAGGGGAGAGGTCTGGATGGTGAACCCTTGGCTTCTAGGTAGTCACTGACGCCAAAGAGTACATCAGTGGTTCTCCACCCAGAGGGGCCTTGCCCCTCCCCCAGAGGGCAGTTGGCAGCATCTGGAGAGGTTTAGATGGTCAGTCACAGTGGGTGGGGCTCTATAGCAGTGGTTCTCAACCTGTGGATCGAGACCCACAGGTTGAGAACCACTAGCAGGGTTGCCTAGACCATCGAAAAGCACAGATATTTTACATTACGATTCATAACAGTAGCAAAATTGCAGTGATGAAGTAGCAGCGAAAATAATGTTATGGTTGAGGATCACCACAACATGAGAAGCTGTATTAAAGGGTCAAGGCAGTAGAAAGCTTGAGAACCACTGCCCTAAATGGAACCTAACTCCTGAGGGAAATCCTGAAATGCATTTGTCTCGTTTATCCTTTAAACTTATGTGTTTAATTCATGTACCCACCCCCCAATAAGATAATGCATTTAAAGCACTTGGCACCCTGCCTAGCCCATTGCAAATGCTCAATAAATGTCTGTTGTGCTTTTTGCTCCTTGGGTATTTTAAGTCCTCGGTCCTGACCAGTCAAAACTATGCTTATTTGGTGTTTCTAAGTTTTGGAGAGAAAAATCTGTCTGCCTTAAGTTCAGATTTCCAGTGAAATTATGTATTTTAACATTAACATTCAGAGAACATGTTTGCATTTCTAATGTTGAAAAAAAAAACAAAAAACCACACACACACACACATACGAGCAAACTTACAGCCTGAAGATCTATGTACCCTTGCAGCAAAATGCCAACCTTTTCTGTGGATAGCTGAGCCAGCAGTTTATTTTACTACCTTTTCTTAAGAATAAGATAAAAGAGAAAACAAAACATACATACTTGCTTTTCATAGTACATAGCTTCTTACTCAACTTAAACAGTTTCCAAACACATCAAACATCAAGATTTTAGGTTGCTGGACTAGAATCACTTGGCATGCAGTGGGGGAGGGAGAGGGCATGGAAGGGGAGGAGGGCAGGGTGGGAGGGATCTATCAGACTGCGGTGTCCATAATTTTCTTTGTTTTCTCCTGGGTATCTTTCACGTTGGAGAGAGGAATGGGAAGTTAGAAGAAGAAAGGGAGATGTTGATAGATGGAAGACTTTTCTAGAAAATGATATGGAACCTTTAGGCAGTTTTGTGACTGGAGCTGGTAGAGACCAAATGCCATTCTGGAAAAACCCGAGCCCAAACTAGTGTCAATGAGCCACTACAACAACAACAAAACAAACTACATACAGTGTGGGGCGGAGTGGGGGCAGTTTGTTGACATTCTTTGCCAACAATTACTAATATGCTCTCCCATCTCACACACTGTCAGTCTTGCTACTCAGAGCTTCTCTTACCCCCTACTGGAGGAAGCAAGTATTTTCCAGAACTAAGGGCCCCAGATGTCCCTATTTCCCTCCAGCTGCGTACGTGGTGACCCTATAAGACATAAGGTGCAAAGTTCAGCTTTGACTGCAAAGAGCAGCTGTTTTTGTTTTTTTTTTTCTCTTGAAATCCTCTCCTGCACCCTTAAGGATCCGGTGTCCAAAACGACAGCCAGATGCTCTTTTTCTTGGTCCGGAGAGAAAGGACTGGCCAGACCCAAAAGGAGGGGCTTTGGGTGGGATGTCAGATTCCAACCCAGGGCTGCGGCCTGGAGGAGATGATGTCACCGCTTCTGCACCGAGAAGGCTGGGGGTGGAGCGGCGGAGGGCGAGCCCCGCCGCGCCTGCTGCTGCCAAGGGAGCATTCCCAGCCCACGTCGGGGGGGGGGGGGGGGGGGGGGGGGGAGGGGGTCGGGATAAATAGGGTCCCGCCATGGCCATGGCTGGCTGCGCCGGGAGCTGCGGCGTCCGGGACTGGAGCTGGCAGAGCGGGTTCGCGCCCCGGAGGCTGAGGTCCGGCTGCGCTCGGGCACTGCGCTCCAGAAGGCGGGCCAGCCCCAGCGCCCCGCATTGCTATACCGAAGGGAGTTGGGGGTCCTTCCTGAGCCCTGAAGGACTTTCTCCTCCTCGGAGAGGGGAGGGAGGCAGCTAGGGTGGGAGTGGTGGGAAGCCGCGGTGCCATGCTCCTCTCCATCCTGGCCGCGCTGTGCCTGGGGCTGCGCCTGGCGCTGGGCGTGCGCGGCGCCCCGTGCGAGGCGGTGCGCATCCCCATGTGCCGGCACATGCCCTGGAACCTCACGCGGATGCCCAACCACCTGCACCACAGCACGCAGGAGAACGCCGTGCTGGCCATCGAGCAGTACGAGGAGCTGGTGGACGCCAACTGCAGCGCCGTGCTGCGCTTCTTCCTCTGCGCCATGTACGCGCCCATCTGCGCGCTGGAGTTCCTGCACGACCCCATCCGGCCCTGCAAGTCCGTGTGCCGGCGCGCGCGCGACGACTGCGAGCCGCTCATGCAGCGGTACAACCACAGCTGGCCCGAGAGCCTGGCCTGCGACGACCTGCCCGTCTACGACCGCGGCGTGTGCATCTCGCCCGAGGCCATCGTCACCGACCTCCCGGAGGGTGAGGCCGGGAGGACCGATGGAGGGGGATGAGGAGACACACCCTTGGCTGCCGCGGCCCGGGAGGACCATCTGCCGCACCTACAGCTCCCCCATCCCACGTCCCAGGGCAGGGCTGGTGACTTAACTTCTAAAAGAGTCTGATTTTTCCATGGGCATTTCAGAGCAGAACACCCTGTCCCATTCAAGGGGGGTGGGGTGGGGGGGCGGATTTTGCTTGCAAAGGGAGCCGCCCGCCCCTGGGGACGGTTTCATTTACAGTAACAACAAAGTAGTCACAAGGGGCAGAAGTAAAAGGGAAGGTAGGTCTGAAGGTGGGTCTGAGCCAGAGTTAAGCATCTTATACGTATCCTTTAATCTTTTTTTAAAAATATTCTTTGTTTTGTTTTGTTTTTGTTAATCCTCACTAGAGGATATTTTTCCGTTGGTTTTTTTGTTTGTTTTGTTTTTTGTTTTTTTTGAGAGAGAGTGAGAGAGAAAGGGAGAGACACAGAGAGAAACATGGATGTGTGTGTGTGTGTGTGTGTGTGTGTGTGAGAGAGAGAGAGAGAAAGAGAGAGAGACATCAATTGCTTGCCTCCCGGGCCCGGACCAGGGCCAGGGATCAAACCTACAACTGAGGTATGTGCCCTTGACCAGAATCTTAACCAAACCGGGACCCTTCAGTCCTGTGGGCCAAGGCTCTATCCACTGAGCCAAAGCAGTTAGCGCTCCTCTCATCTTTAAAGCAATCCCACCAGGACTCTCCACTCAATGTAAGCTCTTGAAAGCTCTTTCTGAAGAAGCATTTCTTTCCAAGCGCCACTCCCTGAAAACACCTTTCCAGGGATCACTCCCACCAGCAGTGCACTTGTCACTTCAGTCACCCTGGGAAGTCGTGGTGTCTGTCTAATGATCTTTCATCACCAGCTGACATGTGTGGCATCTTAGTTCACTGGGTCTCATTTTCCACGCCCGCCTTCTGTCTTGGTCTTTTTGCTGTTTCCCTAGGAAGAAGAAGCAGGTTTCAATCCACTTGTTGAAGTAAAACCTAAGGATATTTTTGCATTCTTCTTACCCCTGACCTAGCTTACTGCACCTTCAAAGAGATTCTGTTTTCGTGTCTCAGGTTATGCATACCCCTCAGAGCACTGACCAAAATAGGAAGGGAAGTAAAGTGAAGGGGAGAAATCAAAACTCCTCTCTAATTCTGCTTAAGGAAAAACTACTTTTTTTGCTTACATTATATAAGTGACAGAGGGTGATGCTTGTTTTTGGATGATGTAGCGATGGACTATTTCTGCACTGCAAAATGTAAGGTGGGGATTTGGAAATACTCAGGCTATTTTGTTTAGTATAAGCTGATCAACACTTTTCAACCTTATATGAAGTATTATGGTGGGAATAAAAATTTATGAGCCATATTGTCAGCCTGAGAGGAACATGTAATATTATTATAGAGTCAATATCTGTTCACACAAAAATAGGATAATGTATTAGTTGGAAATTTTTTAGCAGCTATAACAAAAATAACCCAAAATTCTGGTGGCCTATCACAATAAAAGTCTATTTTGTGTTACAGTAAAAGTCCATTGTGCACTTTCCTAGTTTAAGGTGGCTTTTCTCTATGTGATGATTGCTGAAAGTTTAGCTAAGCTACTCTATACTATTGCTTCCATAGCATCCATTTTGTGGGGCTCACTGGTCTTCAGTGGCCTTGCACTGACACTAATCTCTCCCTATAGTCCATCTAACAGCCCATAGAGTCACAAGTAAATGTTAGTTCCTGATAGGATTCCAAAAAAATAAAGAAGTAAATAAAATGGATTTGAAAAGGAATGGCATGATTTGTCCGGGTTGGCTGTATGTATCAGA